AGTCTGGTGCAGGGTTGGAGGAATGAAGAGCTGTCTTTGGGGGGGGGGGAAGGAACAGAGGCACAAATCCTCATGGATCCACATGATTTATATCTAGGATCATCCCCAAAACAATCTCAATCATCGGCACCATCTCTGCCCACAGACTGGACAGTGGTTTGGTAATGGTCCCATGTTAAAATCATGTGGATCCATGAGGATCCATGCTGGACCAGTGTTTTTGCAAAACACTGCATTGCCAGGCACCCTTCATTTCTGTGGTGAAATGGTTTTCAATGCATTCCTATGGGAAATGCAGATTTGACTTGAGAACTTTTTGACTTGAGAACCGCCTTCCAATACGGATTAAGTTCTCAAGTCAAGACCCCACTGTATTGAAACACCTCTGTCACTGCACATTGTATCATTGGATAAACAGCAGAGGCAGTGGGGGAAGCAGTGGCAACAATAAGTTGCATTGGGGGGAAAGGAAGGAGTAAGAGATGGGTGCAGGAAACCTGAGAGGAAGGGGAGGGCATGGCCAGTCTGGTGCAGGGTTGGAGGAATGAAGAGCTGTCTTTGGGGGGGGGGAAGGAACAGAGGCACAAATCCTCATGGATCCACATGATTTATACCTAGGATCATCCCCAAAACAATCTCAATCATCGGCACCATCTCTGCCCACAAACTGGACAGTGGTTTGGTAATGGTCCCATGTTAAAATCATGTGGATCCATGAGGATCCACGCTGGATCAGTGTTTTTGCAAAACACTGCAATGCCAGGCACCCTTCATTTCTGTGGTGTATTCTGTGGATACAAATGGGAACAGCTGGAACATTCTTAAAGGGGCAGAAGCAGCCAAACTTTCTAAAGGGACAAGCAGTTTTGGTAGTAGGCTCCCTCTCTCTCTCCCTGACCTACACCAAAGTGGCAGGGGCAAGTGGACAGCATGAGAGCAGGGCGGGCGGGCGTAGGACAAAGCCTCAAGTGCAATTATTCTAAAAGCCAGGGTAGCCCCCTCAACTGAGGTCCAACTCACCTTAGAAACAGATTAAAAGTTTTCCCACAAGGATGCACACACTGACCCAAAAACCATGCGACTACCATCTGATTTTTAAATCAATTTCATTTTGAATGGAGCTTATTGCGAAGCAAATGTAAATATAAACAAGCCCTGAGCCACGCATCTGAGGACAGAAACGTTACTGTGCAGAAACTAGTTAGTAGACATTTCGCCTCCCAAGATACTCTGTCACTAATCTCAAAGTAACTCTCGTAGAAAAAAAAAAAGAACTACGAAGAGAGAGTTGAGATGGAGATGGCTGAAATGGTATACATCTAGAAATTCCAGTGTTCACTTAAAGACTGAAATAGACCAATTAATGAGCAAGATTAATGAGCAAGTTTTCCTTGCAAACCTATTTCCTTGACAAAACTCTGGCCTCAGAATTAGAAGATAATTCAGAAAAGACTTAGCATCCTCCTGAAGCGAAATTCTTTGCAATTCAAAGACAGCCATATACTTACCTGATAAAAAAATCAATTACTCTTATCTATGTCTTAATCAAAGTTTTGAAGCTCTTTACCTGTATTAGTAATGCTACTGTCATGTCAAAAGTTCATTTTCTCTGCCTCTGTCCCTCTTCACTTGGTCCCTGCTCCCACATCCATGTATATTGTGTGTATATAAACCTGTCGATAAATATTGCACTCTATATGTTTGAGGAAGTAGGTTGTAATCCATGAAAGCTGACCCTCAAATAAATCTGTTAGGTCAGTGCCTTTTGCTTTTGATCACACATAGGAGGAAAATCATGGAAGCAGCCACAGCTATTTTAAGAGGTTCCGATTATGTACCAGTCAGATACCTGATCATATGCCCAGTCACACTCCTTATGAATTAGCCACGGCTGCTTCTGTGCACAGTAAAAACCAACAGAACGCTGGTTTTGTTTTGAAGGTGCCATGATACCTCTGTATTTTAATTAGTGTGTGTGTGTGTGTGTGAGTGTGTGAGAGAGAGAGAGAGACTAACACAGGTACCTTTCTGAAAACTGCTGCAGGTGGGACCAGCTCACTTGATAAACCTAACAAACCTATTGTATGTTTAGCCATTGTAGACATCTTGGCTGCTGATCAATCTACCAACCTTCTGCTTAGCATGTCGCCCTTAGCCTTTTGTTAACACTGAGCATAATATTGTCATATAAGGCATATGTACCTGAGTTGGAGGGAAAGCTTTTTGAGGTGCCAGGCTGGCCGATATTTATTTTTTAAAGGATATTTTCAAAAGCGTTTTGGTGAGTTTGGTCCCCATCTCTTCATCCACAACATGCTCCCTCCATTTCCTGGACAAGTCCCTCTTTTGAAGCACAGCTCCCAGAAGCCCCAGGCTCCCTGGGATTTGCAGTCTTAAAAGGTATCTTTTCCAAGCTCTCGTTGTATGGATGTTGTTGCCATATTGTTTCTCTTCCTAAGTGCAGTCTAGGCATAATGAACAATTCAAGGCGATCCCAGGCTATGGTGCCAACAAAAGCAAACACATGACACCTGTAAGAAGCCTTTATAATCCCAGCAAGAGTGCTAGGATGCACATTACAAGAGTTTTCTAGGAGGGAGGCATGTTAGTGTTGCAGGAAAAAAACAACAACATTTCTTGCAGCATCATAATGACTATTAAATGTTATTGTTAACACTTTTGAAAATTTTTTAGTGAACACACTCTTCCTTACCAACATGTATCCCATAGTAATATTTGTTTAAGACACTACAAGACTCTTAGTAGTTTTGCATAAATAAAGTGCATGTCTGCATGTTTGTTAGCAGTGGCCTCCAGCATCCTCAACACCACTGCAGAGGACACACACAGCTTTTTTTAGTGCATGTAGCATGATGCTGCTCTGAGCAACAGCTTTCTAAAATTGAGTTGACCCCACATTTATCTTCTGTAATGTGTGCACATTTTCATCTGTGGTTTAACTTCACCCAGGCATCTGGGCCAATGTAGTCTCACAGAGAGGCTAAGCTCCCGGTCTGCATTTCCCAAGGCTCCACACGTTTGTCAACAATCAATAGTGAAAAACAGTCCAGTGATAAACTAGGTTGGACTGGAAGGCCTTTTTAGTGCCCCATTCTGTGTTTCTGTGTTGCAGGCTAGAGCCTCTGTTTCCATTTATGCAGGAGATTGCATGCCCGTTATTATCTCAGATTACTACTTCAGTTAAATCCTAGGAATAACATGCATAATACACATTTTAACATTAAAATCTAGAATTGTAACCAGTGCCCTTTATTTCCATTCCATTTTCAGTCATGCAAAGAGAAGTAAGTACAGCCCAGATGCTGAGATAAGCTATCTTGCTTAGATCTGAAACTGTTGGGAGTAAATATACATTTTGTGGTTTGAGATAACAAGAGAGTATTTTGGAGGTTGACATGTCATCCCAGAAGATTGCAATTTGTTGAAATGTCTACTGTTTGCTTGAGGCTCTTTTTTGAAGGTTGATCTCATTATGGGATTAAAAAACAGACATTCACTCTGGTCTGTTCCAGTTGCTATCTCCAGCAGTATTTGTGAGGATTTTTTTTCCCTCTGAAGTCCTTTGGTTGCATACAACACCAAATTTGAGTGTCTTGTTTTGGAATTTTAGTAGTAAATAGCACAGCACAGCATCTTGACGACATTCAAGCAAATTGCTTCATTTGGCTTAGAAAAAATGTTTGAGTCCCCTATAAAGAGAGCATGGCTTAATTATTCTATGACACTAGTTTGTTCTGTGACAGTAGAGGCATAACGATAATTGGCAAATTAGTTCCTCTTGTTTAAACCACCATAAAAGAAGGCTTTAAAGACTGCACAAGGAGGTTGTTTGTAATCTCATACTTTTAAAAAACAACCTGCCTTTAAATTCCATGCTGATTCTCTCTGGAGTAAACAACTATGAGACAGAGACTGGAAACATTCCTTGTTTGGTAATTATTTATTATCTACTAGTGGCCAAGCTGTCTGGGGCATTCTAAATGTAGCAGTTTAAAAGAAAATGGTAACATACTTACTACATTCTGTTACCTCTACAGGGTTTTGCTCCGCTAACAAGATTATATTTCTTTTTCCATATCTGTTACCACAAGACCCTTCTAGCAATCTGATGCCCCCTTAGCATCACAAACCATGGGTGTCCAGAGGGGGAAGTGTATAAGGAAAGGTGCTTCCTCCCCCCATCAAATTCCAAACTTGTTCCAAATAATTCTAAATATATTGTGCTAAAAGCAGGATTCAGCACTCTGTAGGCCAACTCAGAACACTGGAGTGCCCCAAACAAAAATTATAACTATGAGTGCTAGACATCAGGTCAAAACTAAATTTAACACAGGTGTAGCAGAAAGTCTGCACTTGCCCTGTACCACATTTGGGGACATTTGGGCAAATGGTTTTCGAGTTCTGATTTTTTAAAAAGTGACACTGTTTTACCCTTGTACAGAACCAAGTGACCTTGACTCTGGCCGATATGTATATTTAAAGTCCCATTTTAAAAATCCAGGAAATTCAATTTTTCAGAAATCCCTCTGGTTTATGAAAGTGGGATATTTTGCTTCTGTACCCACAATTCAAAAACTCAGGAAATGCCTCTATTTTGCTGCACAATCCTGTGCTCATATGGCCAGCAGGAAAAAGGATGCCAAGCTTTACATAGTAAAGGGCAACCTGGGTGCTGACAACACCGATGGCAGCAGTTAAGATAGTCTACAGAATACCCTCTTCTGCTCACTACCATTCACACTTGTTGAAAAACAGCCCCAACAATTGCTTTGTGTTTTGGTGAGTCTTTGTTAACTGATGAAAAAAGGAGACAGCTTCTCAAATTTTCCCTTGTGTGGTGTCACTTTGTGTTCTAGAACAATACACATAACTTACAGTCTCTTGGACTTATCCAGAGAAAACTTTATATTATATTCATAACTTAGTTTCTGTAATACTTGAGCTTATTTCTCTCTTGTTTTGTTTTCCCTCATTTACAGTATTTATTTTCCTTGCTATGTTGCATTATCTGGGTGTCTTGTGTGTGCTTTGATGGTGTTCATCTTTATTCCTGCTCAAACAAAGCCCCAGGTGAAAGGAAACACTGCGCAAGAGGGTGAGTGCCCATTCTTTCTAACTTTTCAGAATAATCAAAGAATTTAAGATGAAAAACTTAATTAAGAAGAATCGGGGTTTATTGGTCAAAGATGAGCAATCTTTCCTGTTGAGGTGTCCCAGGGTTGCTTTCCTCTTCAGCCCAACAGTGTACAAGTTTGGTGGAGTCAGATTTGTTCCCAGTTAAGTGCAAGTAAGGTTGCAGTGTTTTTTGCACTGTGAGTCCCAAGAAGCTACTTTTTTGGACCACAGCTCCCAGAAACCCCCAACATTCTGGGAGTTTAAGGTCTCAGAAAGTTACAGTACTTTTCTAGGCTCTGGTATCATTGTGTAATTTCTTGATCAGGAGGTAGCATGGCTTTGTTTGCATGTCTGAAAGCTTAGGCACAGAAGCACTGAAAGGTTTCTGTGACCTCAAGGGACAGTGCTCTAAGATGAGGATATGCATTTGTATCTTTAATGTGTCCTCTGATCCTCAGTTAGTGTCCAGGTGTCATTTGAGAGCTCTGTGGCCACCCCTTTACTGGCTCCAGCACATCACAACCTCCACCACAGTTCCTCCTTCCTGTCATCAGGATGATGTGGCTAGTGGCACTGCCAGAGCTCACAGGACTCAAGCCCTGGGACTTTCTGAATACCAAGGACTATGATGTCATCTACTGCATCTTCCCCAAGCTTCCCTGTCTCCTCTTATCTTAATAGAAACCTTCAGAGTACTTGGGTGAGAAACAGATTTTCCAAGAGCAATGGTATAATGTTGCCAGCTCTCCCTCTTTTAAGGCAAAGTGAGTGTTTTTTGCTCTTGAGTAGGCGAGTGAGAACTTTGAAAAAAGAATCACCTACTCCCCATTTGTTGACATGCATTTTCAGGATCTCCTTCTGGAAGGGACTGGCTATGGCGGCTGTCAGGATGAGCACCTGCTTTACCACTACACCACTGGGTGTGACCTAGCATGGAAGGATGCAGCGCAGTGGCCTTCCATGACCTGGATTTGCCTTGGTCATATCTCAGGCACTGTGCTTTTCCCTTCAGCTTTCCTGAAAAGTTTACAGTCTGACATGGATCTGCTTCCAACTAAAGATTCATTATTAAGCATGGCTCATTTTGCATGCCATCTATGGGTTTTGCTTACAGATGTCTTTGAACACAGTAGAGGAGACTTATATGAGGGTGAGCTCTTGCTGAGTTACATACAGAGGCAGAAAGAATGCATCCTAGTTTTGCCTGCTAATTCTCAGTGCTTGTTTTTCCCACCTCCCTTCTCTTGCAAGAATTCACACCCTCTTGAGCTCAGAATGTTTGGAAGCTAAAGCTTCAAGCATTCATACATGAGGGCGGGTGGGGATTGAAGTATATAATGTTGTTCGGTTGTTTAAAACATTGTATCCTGTCTTTGCATTTCGGTAATGTTCAAGGCAGCGTTAAACATCAAAAATAAAACATTTAAACAGTCAGCGAGTGTTTGCAATTATGTGACATTCCGTTAGGGACCAACTTTTTATATGTGAGGCCTTTAATTAATTACCCCTAGAAGGTTAAATGACAAAACTGAGGCTATTATACTTTGGACATATCATGAGCAGGTGGAACTCACTGGCACAATGCTGGGAAAGGTGGAAAGGAGTAGGAAAAGAATAGAACCTCAAATGAGTTTGATTGACTCAGTAAAAGAAGACATCACCTTGGGTTGCAAGAGGCAAGTAGAGAGAGGCGCCTTGTACTGGTTGGTCTCAGATGTCTGTTGGCTGTGCGCTGGCTAAGATTAGTGAGAAGAAAAAGGTATAGATGAGAAAAGGAAGGAGCTGAGTTATGGCAGATCCAAAACTCCATTACAAGAACATAATTACTATGCCAACACAAAGTTGAACAAAAGTGGGGGTGGCCCTATATAATTCCCAGCATGCCTAAACTAGGAAGGATTTAGATTCAGCACAACCCTAGGAATAAGCTTTATTGAGCGCATCAGGGCCAAACTACATATTACACTAACTACACGGCATTTAGCACTGCTTCTTATTTCCTTCTTTCCCTTTGAATTAACTATTGGCACTGAGGGATCTGGGGAAAAGATTCAATAGACAAGAAGGGAGGCTTATCCTTTCCTTATCTAGCCAACATCAATCAAAATTAAACCTTCCTCTCAGCAAGTGATGGGAAAAAAAATCTCCATTGTCTGAACAGACCTTAATAGGATGCTCTGTTAAGCAAATATCTGCACTATACTGTATAGGCACTAGATTATCTAATATGGAGGGAATATGTGGCCCTCTCGGTGTTATTGGAGTATAATTCTCATCAAGTCTTAGCTGATATAGCTAATGGTAGGTGAGATAGGAACTGCAGCCTAACAATACTTGTTGTGCTACATGTTTCACATCCATGTTGTTCATGAACGTCTGCAATGTTTTTACTGTAGATTCTGTATCATGTAGAAAGAGTAGAGTTGACTTTGGTCTAGTCGACCGAAGAGTTGACTTCGGTCTAGATGGGTGGGGTATAAATTTAATCATATAAATAAAAGTTGTCCATTTCATAGTGGAAATAAAGAGCAGAAAGCAGTCCTAAAGAACAATAGTTGTACTTGAAGAAAATTTGCCTTCATTGGTTTCAAGTCCCCCACCCTCACCCCAGATCTCCAGAATTTGACTTGATTTGTATTTCTTTAGGTGTGTCCCAGTCCAGCAGTGTATTTAACCTCAAAGAAATCATTCACCTAATGAAGCTTCCAGGAGTAATGGATGTTTTTTTGATCAAGGTGTTTTCTGGACTTCCTACAGGTGAGTACTGTGTCAATTTGTTTGTTTACCCCACCTTTAAACAATAAGACCATGAATTTGAGAGGACTGTTTTTCATAGGTTGCTGGAAATGAGATTCTGCCTCAGAAAAAATGATTTATTCAGCTGCAAACCGTGTGAAGTGTAATGTTCCATACCTATGAGAGTAGCAGAGCAGCCCTTCTGCAGGCTGGAAGAAGAATTGCTTTGGGTTACATTGAGCCTACAGGAGAGGGGCTCCTGCTCTAATACAGTTTCTGAGCTCGCTCAGTGGTCATCACCATGCAATCACTTGGCAATATTGGGGGCTGTCAAAATCATTAGTCAGTTTTTTGCTTGCCCTCACCATAATGGGAATCTGAGCCATCTTATATCTGGTCTTCCTCTTTTCTATACATATACACAGGGAGTGACTTCTAAAAGAATATCACAAATGCATTTACGAGGGACCATGTTCCATTGAATTCAGTGCAACTTAACCTTTGCATAAAGATACACAGAATGATCTGCCAAGTGTTACCTTTCTCCAGAACGTGCTTTTCCTCTGTGCACTTTCCAGTGCAGTGCTGAGCCACCCTGCTAAGTTTGTAAGAAGTTAGAACTCAATATGAGGTTGCAGGCTGACATGCTTTTAGCTGTCCTCTATGGATTTGTACTTGAGTGCTAGAGGGATAACCTTGAAATAAAAGTTGTTGCACATTTTCATTTCCTTGCTCCAAACATATAATTATTTTTAGTAATGAATACATATGCAAGGCACAATTTAGGGAGTTCCTTTATTTGTACTATAAGCATGGTTGTAATATACACATAGACATAGTCCTCACAGCCATGGTATTGTAGTCTAAACAAACACATTTTGGGAAGCATAAATCTGCTAGACAAGGCAGCTTGCAGTTCTGTATGCATTGCCCTGTGAAGAAACTCCATCAAACAAAATGGATTTTTTTTTTCAAAATAAATAGGGCACTGCTCATGAGGTATGTGGACATCATCTGTGCCATATTTTTAGAACACTAGCTGCTTAAATCTATAGGATATCTGAGCACGAGCATACAACCTTGCTATCTGAACCTTTTTCGACTTTGGAATTCTAAGAGTTTTATTCCAATAAACAAATAAATACAGTGATGCCTCGCAAGACAAATGCCTCGTGCAATGAAAAACTTGCAAGACGAAAGTGTTTTGCAATTTTTTGGTGACTCACAAGACAATTTTTCCATGCTTCGCAAGACGAAATTTTTTCCAATGTGTTCCTATGGAAAAATTCGCAAGATGAAATTTTTGCAATACGAAATGACTCACAGAACGAATTATTTTCATCTTGCAAGGCATCACCGTAAATGAAAAATTGCTAAACTCTGATCTAGAATACTGCTCTCTCTTGAGAGATGAATGGGCAAGGCTTCCATGTTTTCCTCCTGTTTTGCTCACCAATCTATCAGAGAAAGGCACACTCACATATTCCCACCGTAGTAAGAGAGCACAATTTCACAAAACATGCCAGAATTAGTGAACTGGGTAGAAAATAAATCCACGGCTTCACATTCCTGTTGGAGTAGACAGAAATACTGCATGGAAGACAAACAAAAGAAAGAACAGTAGATCAGGTCAGCTCAGGAAAAGTGTTCATGATGGTACCATCAAGTGATCACATGTTTACATGGTGAATCAAAGTGCTTCTGTTCACAAAGTGTACACTTTGAACCCAGTTGCTATGTGAAAGCCAACATGATGTGGCAGTAGCTAAAGTGTCAAACTGAGATGCCAGGTCTTAGTCCCCATTTAGCCATGAAAGTCACTGGATCATATTTGCATCATACATTATCTCACAGCCTCACTAATCTCAGAAGATGGCTGTAAGGATGAAGTGGGAGAGCCATCTAGGCAGCCTTGAACACAGTGGAGGAAAGACAGGATATAAATGTAAATATGTAGATCTAGTCTTACCTACATTGGATATCCAAATATCCTCAATATGGTTGTCTCTAGTCAGCTACATTACGAGTTAGTAAGACTCCTCTCCCCCCGAAAAGGCTCTTCTCCATTAATTGGGGGGGGGTAGAAGTTCTTAGCTGACCTTTATAACAAATTTGTTTTTGTTTTTCTTAAACTTAGGTGTGTTCCTGATGATGTTTTCCATCATATCTATTGATTTCTTTGGTCTGGAAGCAGCACAGTCTGGATATCTGATGTCTTATTTTGGGATCCTTCAAATGGTAAGGAGATGTGCAGTGAGAAATTGCATAATCTCTGTTCCCAATGCTTCTTTATGGGAAACATTGACGTAAGATGATGACTACATTGACAAATAATGTGGGAAGTGATGTAAGATTAGAGTGGTGTGATTCACAATATTTTCCATTGACTGTGTGCTGTAAAAGTAAATGCAAATCAGTCTGGAGTCCCGCCTCCCCATCTGTATTTTTTTCCTACAACACTGGGGCTTCTACTTTTTTGGAATTGAATGCCTTAGCACCTGTGCAGGCTGTTGTGATTGCCTGAGCCAATCTGGAGAGGTTTGTACCTGCCATTCTATCTGGGTCCAGCAGGAGTGAAAGAGGCAGGGTAGCAAGGAAACTGGTTGCCTTTTGAATCCTGTGTTCAACCCCTAGATCCTAACCAAGGTTTTCCTGAAACTAATAACAGTGAGGAAACAGTACAGTATCTTAATGAGGGTGGATATTGAGCCTGTTCATACTCTTAGCAGTCTTGATGAGGATTGTTGTTTCCTCATTGCTAACAGCACCCTAACATAGTTGGTGGCTTAGCAGCTCCATAGTGCGGGAAAATGGGTAGAGCACATAAGATTTCCATGGGCCACATAAAGGTGATCTGACAGTAAGCATCTAGTAGGCTGTGACTTGCCCACATGCCAATGGAAATATGGTGTCCTATCTTGCTTGGGACCTCTCTCTCTCTCTCTCTACTCCATCCCTCTGCTGAATGGGCAGCCAACCTAGAACTTGACTTCAGGAATATAATGAGGTGACCTGAAAGATCCAAGTTGTGTTGATATATCATCATTTTTATGCCAAATCATATAGGTATTGACTGTGAGGTGCAGTTATCATGGTTAATAATAAAACTTCAAACAACTTCAGAAACTTGGATTTTCAATGAAGTCAGTCCAGACTCCCCTGCCAGTTATTTGCCACTACTAAGAAATATATGAATGTCTGGTAAACTCTGTTTTCACAACTGATTATGTGTTCAAGATAGCAGAGATGGGCTGGCTAGTCTTGCTCTTTCCATCATTTTCCTCCCAATTTGATTGCACTGCTGTCCATCCACTGGAAGGTCTGAAGAGATGCTCTACATAGGGTCCCTGTGCACTTGAACAAAGTTTGTAATTATGTAGGTGCCTTCCCATGTAGAGCATTACATTATTTCCATGCATGTACCCACCTATTCTCTTGCAAGCAGAGGGCAATGTACTTAATTCTCCCTCCTGCTCCCTTATCCTCACAAGAATCCTCTGAGGTAGGTGAAACTGGGAGAAATGACTGGCCCAAAGTCTCTAGCTGAGATTTATAGCTTGATGGAGACAAGAAACACACAAGTCTCAGTCCTCCACTAGGCTCCCCCATGTGTGGACAGTGGAACTAGAAAAAAATGTAGGAATGGAAGTTCAGATGATACCTCCTGTCCTATTTCCCCCCCTTGTCTATTCTGATCATTATCAGTGTGGAGAGAATGCCTACCAAGAACTACCCTAAGTCTTAATCTGATCACCTCTCTGGCTGTCTCAAACAGCTGGGTTCCCTAGCACAGCGTTCTCCATTGTCCCAGGCACAGAGAGGTGTCTGTGCAAAGGGAAGGGTCTTTAACGTTCATTCCCAATGTGAGATTTTGTTAGAAAGAGGCCAAAGAACTGTTGTTACTGGTTTGGCATGCCGAGGAGCTTGTGTTTCCCCAACAGATCCATCCCTTATCATATAACAAACAGCTTTTGAAGCTAAGAGGCATTATAAACACACCGTGTGATATATTGTATGCACTTGCTAAAATAAAAAAAGGCAAAAACAAATCCTTCCAGGTGCATACAGACCCTTGGGCATCTCTGAAATATAACCCTTGGGATCTTAGTCCATGCATGCCAGAAACATCTTCCAATCCTTTTTTATAAAGGCCAGAATGTTAAACTGTCTTATGCTGAAGCTTTTAATTCTACTATCTTTAAACGTGTTTGGGCCCTGCACACTACAAGAAGTCGCGTGATTTGGGAGGTTGTTCTTCAGGCAAAGTCTTAAATGTGAAACAGTTCAAAGATATCTGATGCAGACTGAGATAATTGTAATTTATTGGTTCTGTTTAAATAACTTTTGTTAATTAACATAACATGTGACATTCTAAGATTATTATTATTATCATTATTACAGTTGGCTTGGGATCACACAGACCTATTTTGCTTTTATTATATTGTCTTGAGGTTTATCATATAGAAGGGTTATGGAAGCTAAAGAGTTGGTAAATTTCATCTGTGTATAATTGGATGAATGCTAATTAACAGCAGTGTGTTTACAATCACCTCACCCTTTCACTGTACAAATTCTTATTACAAGAACTGAGTAGTTTTCAGCAAGCTGACCCTACCGTGTATATGCTTTCCATTATGCTGTCTGACATATGGCTCACTGCTTTGCTTAGATTTAAAGGCATTCTAGGAGATAATTTGATTCCCCAACCCCACTGCACCACCCCCAAATGTACAAACCTATGAACTGTTTTCTTTTCAAATTCTAGGAAGGAAAGGTGGCTATTTTTATCTCTGGGATGAAAAAGGCATATCTTCCGTATCCTGTTTGCTTTCAGTCTCTCTCTTTCTGTGTACATTCAGAACAGAATAGCTTGGTTCTATGAAAACTCAAACAGACACCCACCCATTGCATTTCAGAAAGAATGAAGCATCTGCTGTGGTTGGAAGAGAACACCATTTGTTTGCTTGTGTGCTCATAGTCTGCATTCCACATGAAGAACAAAACTGGGAGGGAAACAGATCTGGGGAAGGGATTTTATTCTCCCATGGAAGACAGGTCCCCATTTCAGAACCCATTGCCTCTTTATCAGAGGTTCTTTTCTTCTCTCCCCCCCCAAAAAGTAATCTTCAGCTGCTTCTGCTTATTGCTCTTCGGTTCATTTCATTTCCCATCTCAGCTATCTTGTGTTCTCACAACTCATGCTGTTTTACATTTTGTGCCCAAAAGCCACTTGCTTGCTGGACTAAAATACTGGTATTATTCTCAAAAATGTATGGTTTCCCTGTGCACCATTTTCATACTTGGGTGAGGCTCACTATTTCCTAATCAAAGAAGTAACAATAGAAGAAAAAGGAACTGTGGAGTAATTATACTTATCAAGATACTTTACAAATCCCATTTATACACGTATTGTGGAACTGATGTGGCTTTACTGGTTGATGTGGTTGGTGTGATTTGCTCAGAACTTGAAAACCACATTAAGACACTTTTGATGAAGTCTATGGCTACATGCACTTTTCCCTCCAGCATAGAACTTTGTTTCCTGTTCTTTTATACATATTGTTGCATTTCCTAAATACAATTCTGTTAAGTGTGTGTGTGGGGGGCTACCTGTTGTTTTTAAATGATGCGAGGAATTTTTGCAACATTGGCAAAAATCCTCTTGCATAATGTGAGAAAATTCAAAGTTCCAGTCCATTCCTCACTAGTAAGTAAAGAGCCCTCACTTTCATTGTTGTGGGTTTTTCGGGTTCTTTGGCCATGTTCTGAAGGTTGTTCTTCCTGACGTTTCACCAGTCTCTGTGGCCAGCGTCTTCAGAGGACTGGAGTAGGAACTCTGTCCACAACAACCATCAGATCCCGGCCATGAAAGCCTTCGAGAATACAGCCCTCACTTTGATTAGTGGGGGGCGTGTATGCATTAAGTCAGCATATGAGAATCATAATACTAGTAGCTCTTTATTTATCTGCATGAATAAGCTCAGTGAGGTACGTATCTGACTATGGATCCAGAGTCTGGGAGTTCAATTCCTCACTGTGCCTCTCAGGAAAGCCAGCCTGTGCAGCCTTGGGCAAGCTGCACAATCCCAGGGTGCTCCCAAAAGAAGGGAATGGTAAACCACTTCTGAGTATTCTCTCCCAGGAACATCCTGAAAAGGGTTGCTGACACCAATTATTAAATATGCTACTTGCCCAGGATTATACCTGGATCAGGGCTTTTTTTTTTTGGCAACGGTGGAGTCTTACTTTAACTCATGTGGATTTTTCTAGATAACTCCTTCACCTTTATTCTCAGGCACATTTGTGTTCTTTTAGCACAGTTGGCAAGACTTGTGTGACCTGACCATAAAATAAAACAGCCAGATATTTATTTATTTATTTGATTTATTGTTGTTGTTTAGTCGTTAAGTTGTGTCCGACTCTTCGTGACCCCATGGACCAGAGCACACCAGGCCCTCCTGTCTTCCACTGCCTCCCAGAGTTGGGTCAAATTCATGTTAGTAGCTTCGACGACACTGTCCAGCCATCTCGTCCTCTGTCGTCCCCTTCTCCTCTTGCCTTCACACTTTCCCAACATCAGGGACTTTTCCAGGGAGTCTTCTCTTCTCATGAGATGGCCAAAGTATTGGAGCCTCAGCTTGATTTATACACCATCCATTTAGTGCAAGTACTAGGTGAGAAGCGACATCTGCCCACATGAATAAGATGAAAGGATTTTTTATTGTTATTTATGTAAATCAGAGGTTGACAGAATGCAGTCTCTGCCTCTAAAAGGACCTTTTAAAAAAATGCTTACTGCTAAAGCCATAATGACATTCAGAATGCAGAGCCTAGGCAAAGCTGGCATTGCTCAAGTCTTACAATTAAATGGCTGCAGCATGGGCAGTCCAGTGGAAGGAATCCAGCAGCTGAATCTCATGAGGAAATTGTTCAGCCATCATAGTGTGTAATTATTTGTGGCTGTGCCAGCTGGCAGGCTGGAGGAAACTCCTAATAGCAAAGCGTATAAACTGGGGTAGTGTGTTTCTAACACCAAGTGGAGATTATGCTCCCAGGAAAATGGATCAGCCTTATAAGGTACTTATGTCTTTAAAAATGACAATGAATCATATAATACTGTATGGGTGTTGTAGGTTTTTCGGGCTGTTTGGCTGTGTTCTGAAGGTTGTTCTTCCTAACGTTTCACCAGTCTCTCTGGCCGGCATCTTCAGAGGACAGGAGCCTGTCTGTGCTCTGAT